TTATTATTATTATTATTATTATTATTATTATTATTATTATTATTATTATTATTATTATTATTATTATTATTATTATTATTATTTAGTCACCTCTAGGTGAGATGGGTGGCATATAAATTTTATAATAATATAATACAACACAACACAACACAATACAATAATAAAAGGAAATGACCAACATTTCTAGTCAAGTACAACTGCTGAGAAAAATAAGGTTCTGATCTCAAATGTAGAAACTATATATTATAGGGAAGATAGCATTCCAGACACTGGCTGTGTGAAATACTTTCAGGTGAATACAAAAAAAATATTAGAACTGAAATGTTTGTAAAAAGGGGTCTGAGGAAATGTAAGTTTTGAGTAACTATAGTTCACAGTGGAAAAGTTTCCTGCCTGCCTGAATTATGTGTTAACTCAAAATCCACATAATTATAGTAATAAAAGATAGTTCTGTATATATTTTGTGTTATTATACTGCTACATGGAAATAAATGTCTTATGAAAAAATCAAAATTATACTGTGTTCAAAGCATACTGTGTTCAAAAAGAATTTCTGGTCAATTTTGTCCCACTCATTAAATTCAAAAAGGACAGAAAAACATGTAATAAACTGGTAAGAATAGTGAAAGTGTTCACCAGGACTGTTTTCTGTTCAAAAGTTCAGTTTCTGAATGACCATTTTTTAAAATAATTTTTGTTCCTTTTAGCTCACATCGATTCCTTTTAATCATAAACCATTCAAATATGTTTATAGTGTTACTTTGAAATAATAGAGTTATGGTCGTAATCACTTCTCTGTTCAATTCTTTCACCAATTTTGAGAACCTTTACAATCAGTTATGTTTTGCTTTATATAATTTCCCTTTGTCTATCATTAAAAAGTGCAATTTGTTGCAAATTTTGGAAGGGTTTCAGGCCAAGATTTTAAGATCTGCATGAGGCTCTAAAGTATGCTGTTCACTCTAAAACTGTGGAAAGAATTGATCATCATGGAGAGATGTTAGAAAAGTAAATGTCAAGTGTCATGCCTCTCCTTCCTTAGATTTTTCAGTTAGCTTCAAAAAAATGTGATAGATTACAATCACCATCTTTTTGTTGGAGAATTTAGGAAGCTGTCATACCAAGGGATTATATACCTAAATAATATGTTATAATTAAGTAAATGGTTAAGTGTTTGAAGTTATTATTCAAAAATCAAAATATCAGATATCTATGAAGAATGGCATTGTAGTCACAAGTGAGAAAACCAGCATTTTTAATTTAAAATTGTCTCCATTTATTTAAAGATTAATTATAAGGCAGTTAGGAGGCACAATTAGAAACTACATTATGGAAGAAAAGTCTGTTAATCCTACAGATAATGTGCTGCTACAAAACCATGCTGAGTGTTAGCATGCAAATTAGCCCAGCATTATTTTATGCAGTGTGATACCAACACTGTGATATTTAAATTTCAGGGTCTTTGTTTGTTTCAGCTGTCATTTGAGCATTTGACATCATGTATAAATAATTCATTGACATCCAAAATGTTTATCCTGTCTATGATGCAAAATAACCCTGACCTACTTGCGCATTTTATATGGAAACAATGATGTAATTGATTACATTAACAATTCTACTATTTGCCCTGAATTATAAAAAGGATGATAAGAGGTTAATTTGTCTAGTCCAGGTAGAATGGCCTTCAGTCTTCACCTCCCTTCCTTAGCTAATCATAGTGATAATATTCCATAACTGCTTGAATCCCAAAGCATTCTGAGTACAAAATTCTTGTATATTGTCATTCCAAAAGTGAGACTTATTTAAGTGATCAATATTTCATTTTTCTGACAGCAAGATAACATGTAACAATTTCTAATTGGCTTAGTTTTCACCTATAAGTCTAGGAGATCCACATTATCTGGTATGAGAGTTAGAAATTTTTTTCCTTAATTTAGGCTGGCTAGATCTTACTTTGTGTTATTTTTCTTCTACTTTTCAAACCATTTCTTCACCTAAAAAAATTATGTTAGAAGTGTGCTACCTATTTGGAAATAACCTAAGGTACTTCTTCCATTTGACTATACACTTTAGTTATGCTATACCTTATCAGCTATGTATATTGCTCTGAGGAGAAAAGTATGAAAAGGAGTTGATTTTCTCAGCAGTAACTGGAAGTATAGGCTGGCTTTTTACATTCCCCAATTAAAATTTCCAGAAGCTTTAAACACAGGAAAGAATCACATAATGGAGATAGAGTTAAAATTGACTCAGATACAGTTAAAACAGCTCTTTTTTTAGCCCTGTGTATAGGATATGTTTGCAAGAAACTATGGGTCCAAAAAAGAGTAGCAGAGAAACTATGGGTCCAAAAAAGAGTAGCAGAAGATGGCAAATACACCCAGCTGCTTATCAGTAAGGTCAGGAGTGTGGGGTGGCTGAGGGTGAAGGGTAGAAACTGCAGTCCAACAATATTTGAGGGTCAAAGACTGTGTCTTCCTGCCATAAAGATAAAGCTGAGAAATTCATTATGAACAGAAATCACAGAACCAACTGCATTAAATTCCTTAGATTTATAATCCTTGGAGATTTCTTCATATACATACATAGAGTTGCATTAGAAGACCACAGTTTCTTTTTGTATCTAGAACTTTACTTTTCCCCAGAAACATGCTGTGTCAGTCTCCTAAAGTGAGAGCATCTCATTTTGTATTATTCTGTTTTTTTCTGCCATTCCTTTTTTGAATTGTGATTTTCTTTATACTTCTGTGATTGCTGGCTTATAGGAAGCTATGTGAGTTGAGAATTCTGATTTAGATTCTTGTTAGTAAAAGTTATCTACCTCCCACTGTCAGGAAAGCAGAGAGGGAGGGAAGAGACAACTTCTGTCAAACTGTTGAATTTGAAATGGAAGGCTTTATCTGAGCGTGAAAGCTAAATTGAAACAATCAGGCATAACCCTTTAGGTTAACTACTTGTTGCAAGGGCCTAATTGCAAGAAACTGTTCCTGTCACTAATGAAATATCACTGGCTAAAAGATGGACAGATTGGTCTGAGTCCCCCAAAGTCCATTTTTTGTGACCCAATTGAGGGCACAGAGGCACACACAATTAAATTCAGTTTCACAGCAGTCAGTTACATAATCATTATGAAAGAAAGAAAACAGCTTTTAATAAACTTATTTCTCAGTCCTTCATTTCTTGGATCAATGTTAAAAGAAGAAATGATATTTATCTGCCTTGTTAGGTTGAAACATATAGATATTTTGCTAGTTATATGAACTCAGATTGCTAAACTAAACTGTTCCATGGCCTCAGTGGGTTTGGTATGTTTTTATAGTTTAAGATGGTAGGCTTGCATCTGCACACACAACATTAGTGCAGTCAATCTTAGGTTTGGAATTTGCAATATTATTATATTAACAAGTACGAGTATTGTATTAACTAATTCACTCTATTCATAATCATGAAACCTCAAGAAGTTTTTTCCGCCTCTACATTCCCATTTCACCACAATAAGATTGAGTTAAACAAAAATAGTCGTTGCTAAATGTCTTATAAAATTGATTAAAAGACCCTGCATCATGTGGGGAAGTCAATTCATATATAGAATCTATATTCTTATATCAAATCATTAATTTTTAATTAAGGTTCAATTAATTATTTTAATTAAGGACCACATTCTTTTATTGACATTTGCTGGTCAGTTTAATATCCCCAGGAAAAACTTTTAGCAGTGTCAAATTTTTAGGAAAATGAGAGGGCTTTGAAATGACTTTTCAGTGTATATATGTTTGGTTCCCACTCATCTTCCAGAAACTGGGCAAAAATGGTCAAATTCTCTTCCAGAAGGATTTGGGTCTTGATCCCATCTTGATTTAGTTATAGTTTGGTTAATTTATATTAAGTTGTCTTTGTTATTTCCCTCTTCCTCAGTGTTGGGAAATTTTATTATGGATATTGTTATATATTTTTAACTTTATTACAGATTCTTAGTAAGAGATTCAGAAACCTATGATTAAAGTTATAAGCCAAATATCAGACTAAGTAATAGGTAATTCCAACTGCACATAACATCTATCAGATCTTAGTTGAACATGGAAGTTAAGTAGGATTGGATCTACTTAGTATTTGAAAAAGAAGACCACCAGAAAATTGTCAGATTACATGAGGAAGTAGAGGTTAAAACATGATTCTATGGCCTTTCATGGGGAGCCCAAAGGAGCACGGAGTCATGAGGTTTGTTGGTGCCATGAGAGCCCCCTCTTTGACTTTATCCACCAATTAAACAGTTTAATTATTCTTGCCTCCTTTTTAATTCCAAAATTTTAACTCTTAATGTTTTAATTTTAATATACTGTTTTATATTTTGATGCTTTATCGTACATGGCCAACAGTCCCTCTCTGAGGAAGATGAGCAGTTCAGAAATGTGAAATATAAATATAAATAAGTTAAAAAAAAATTCATAAGAAGTCAGTGGCAAATCTCTACATTATTGCCCCAAAATTATATATATCCATATAGTCACCAAGAATCAAGTGTGAGATAAGGGAGTTGGAAGTTTTAACCTCTATACTATTTATACAATAAATATATTGTTGTATCTGTGATGAAAGGAAAACAAGGGCTTCCTTGTGAGAAAATCACAATGTGAAGGTTCTTGGCTCTGTAAGGAGAGACAACTCAGCATAGCAAATATATACATAATATTTTATTGTACCACACTCCTTCTCCAACAACAGGCTATTATACTGGTTCAATTCTGCCCTGCTAGGACTTTGCAAGATGACATTGTTACATTAATACGTCTTTAATACTCAGTACTTTATACTCAGTGTCTTAATGCTCAGTTTGAACAAAAGTCTCAAAGTTTATAAAGTAGCGTAAATTGCCTTTTTCCAAAGTTCTTATACTATTTGGAATGTGGTTACTCTTCTTCTGGTTGATGCCGAGCTCCAGGCAAAGCTCCAAGCTTTAGACAAGATTCCCACCAGGATATGCTGCTCACTGTAGTTTGTGATCCTGGCAGTTGAATGAAAGTTCTCTTGCTTGCCAATCTTCAGATGTCGCTTCTGCTTGCCAATCTGTGTGCTCTTTGCTTATCACCTTTGCTGCTACACCCTCCCCTTCCCCACTCTTAGTATTTGTTTTTGTAAGTTCAAAAGACAGGGTGGAATGAGGCTGCCTTTGGACCAGCACATCTTTGGAAACATGAGGATGTGGCTCAATTATCACAGGCAGCCACAGCACCAGCTTGGATGCCTGTTAGTAGAGTTCTGACACAATGGGTGAATGCCTGAAGGAGGGAGGGGGGAGCTTGTCTGCATGACTGCAGCTACTTTTGAAAAGAGCAGAGAGCAAGCCCAGCTTCACTCCCTCACACACAGCAACAGAATAAATATGTTTACAGACTTTGTGCCTGCTGTGCATAAAGGCTGCTCTGATGAAGAAGCAGTATGAGGTTGGAGAAGACTGTTGAGGGAGATGGCAAATGCAAAGGACAACAAAAAGAAGCCTGCAGAGAAAGAACCTGCTGGATAACTCTTATCAGGCCTGTATAAACAACCCCCCTCCCCACCTTTCTAAACTGCCTGGTCCAAGCAGAGAAAGGAGATGGGTTCCTCAAGCTGGAAACCCTTTGTCAGGGGGAAAGAACAGAGACAGAAACTCCATCAATAAGGAGTTGCTTATATACTCACAGCTGAGGTTGGAAGGCTTATTGAGACTGATGATGCGAGAACAATGCTCAAACTGCCACTTCCAGAAGAGTTCCTTGGTGAGACATTTTATTTTGAATGTTACTTTGAATTCTTGACTACTGAGGGTCCAAAGAGTTTCCTTTTGTTTTCAGTCTCTGACCCTGAATGCTCAAGGAATGGTAGAAGAAACTTCAATAGGTTCTGTACATCTTTAAAGAGTCCAGTTTTGTTTTCATTAGTCAGGTCTCCATCTACAAGGATCTGGAAGAAAAAGATCATTAGCACAGTTTCTAGTGGACCTATTCATATTGATTATATTGGTTTCAGATGATTATACATTATAAATGCCATGTTACCATGCATTTCCTATCCAAATAACCTAGGCATCGTGGTTGAATCTTGTTCCGGAAGTAAGTGACACAGACTATTTAAACTGTACCCTGGGCTCTCACACTGAGGGATGACAGGTTTTCTGTACATGTTCTTTAAGACGTTATTCTTATACAGGAAAAATATACTTTTAATTTCCCGTTACTTGCAAAAATAATCATTTTTCTTACTCTGTAAAGAAAAAAAAATCAGAAAAAAAGGTAAGGCAGGAAGCAACTGATAATGTCAGCTGGGGGAAAAGATTGATTTTTGCACTTACCATTTTTTATTTCTAAAAACTTCATGCTAAGAATCCCTCTTTGATTAATTGCTTTATATACATATGCATTTGTGCTTTCTTCAGTATTATGAGAATTATGGGGTTGGAAAACTATCCATCTCTGCATGATAAAACTGTACTAGTTTAACTGAAGCATGTGGATTTAATATTATTTAGTTACATTTGAACAGATACTCAGAATGAAACTGAAAATGTTGAACCTTATTTCAAACAAATCAAGATTTTTAATTCTTAAAGCTTGTGTGCATGGATAAGCCATTTTCATTGATCAAGGATGATTCATTGCAGATGACAGATTTACAAAACATGTGCTACTCTGGTTGAAGGCCATCTAACAATTGGATAACAAACTTAGAAAAGATGTTAAACAACTCTACCTTGTTAATGCACTGCTATTTTTTCTTCTATCTGACGTGACCCTAAAGTTTAAGATTACCTATAGCACATATAGCAAGAAAACCTGAAATAGTCAACATTTCTGGTTAGCACAGAATGCAAAATCAATTATTAATGCATATTTTATATTCTGATTACTAACTCATATCTGGTAATTTGTTACTACCATGATATTGCACTTTGTGTAATTTGGGCATAAGGAATTTTGTAAAGCTAGTGTTACAGAATGTAAACTTGTGTTATGGACATACTCTGTGTAACAAAACAATTGTAGTTTATTCAGCAAACCATGGTCTGACAAACCGTAGATGAATGCAGGTACAAATCTAATCAGAATGAAACTTTAAAGTCCTTGCTGTATATCTTGAAATAAAGAATAACCTTTGTATTTCTTTAAATGGTCCCACCAACACAAGCTGCTTTCCCTCCATGTGAGAAATAGTTATTTTAAATGTTTAGACTATTGAATCGTTTTTGTTAAAAAAAATAACACATTTAAAATAATTAAATAGGTTTAATTAAAAGAGAAGGCATCAATTCTATACAGTGTAGCAGTTGTTTAAAGGATCTATTCCTTATTTATAAGCAAATTAAGCAGGATAGTTTTTGTTTTGTTTCCTGAATGTATGTCAGTATACTGCATCTACCTCCTACTTGGTGAGGTGCCAGCAAAAGTATGTTGGCTTTTAAAATGGTTGCTGAATTTGAAATGCTTGGAGTAAAAATGGGTTATGTTTTCACTTCTGGTATACCAGGCAAGCTGTGCCAAAACTGACTTGAATTGCCTTTATTGTACTGGTGGAATTAAGGTTATTAACCTAGGCAATTTTTTCTGTCTCGCTAAAAAGCTTATGAACACTTTGATTGACTAGTGCTGTGATGGCAGCAATGGTAAATATCTATGGGTTTAACAGTTTACTGCACACTTTGCAGCAGAGATATATGGAATGCAAATGGTAAAGACATGAATGAAAGGATGAAATGAAAGATATGAAGCTCTACTGCATGAAATGAGAAAAGGGAAGGATGTAATAGGTTAGAATGAAGGAGATGCAATCTTTTGGAATGTAAAGTAGTTGACAAATACTTGTATGGAAATAAAAGTGTTGGTTTAATTATGAATGAAAGAGGTAAAATGCATGTCAGAAAATATGAACTGGTGTCACAGGTTTTTGTGGATGGACTTTATAGGTTAGTGATAGTGCTGATGTTCAATAATTAGCATGATCTGGGGAAACAATCTGGTAGATGGCATGGAGGGGTGGCTGAAAAAGAGACATAAGTTTTTTGTTTTTTAAAAAACTGTGTCATTAGACATTTGAAGCTCTAGGCATGAATGGGAATAATGAATAATGAGTATTTGACTAGAATAATTTTTACTTTGAATATCTGGTTTAAGCAAAGCTGTATTTCTTTTAAAAGAGAAGTGGGGTGAATAAAAAAGCATGGTTCTTTTAGTAAAGGATGCAGAGATGGCAAAAGATTATTAATGTAGGACAGGCTTCTTTTTGGTAATATTAAAATTGGATTGGGATGGATAGATGGGTGGGTGGGATGAGAAATCGCAACAAACAGCATCAAACCGAAGTTCACCAATTAATGAATTTATTTTGCTAATGCAGAAGTTCATTCCATAAACAGCTTTGCATGTGAGAAGAACTGTGGCTGCTGGTTGTGTTTTCACATGTGAGATGTAGCTCAATAATTTTCAGATTACTCTTAGTGTGTTGTGGTGATACCTTTCCCTTGATTCCCTCAGGGAAGGGACATATACTGTAGATGAAGACATGAAATTATTGGGTTGAATTTTACACAACAATTGCATGAAACCAATGCAATCAGGCTTTTTTTTAAGGAAAAAAAAACATGTTATACTCCAGACATGACTACTAGTACTTTACATATAAGAAATGTGTTGTTTTAATCTTGTAAGCCAGTATCTATTGTGTGGGATGAGTGGCTATGTAAATCATATAAATAAATGTATGAATTTGTAAACCAAAGTAGTTCTTACAAAACAATCATAAGCATAAATAATACATTTAGTAATCTCCATTGACACCCAATCTAATGGGAACAAATTAAATATCAAATACAGAACATATTTTTCCTGATTTTTCAAAAACTCATCAAAATGGCCACCAACCAGACTTGGGGTTTTGGGAGGCTATTCATAAGAACAGATGCTATAGTGAAGAAAAATCCCTTTGTCTTCCTGAGCCTCTAAGATGGAGGTACCTTAATTATCCTTTTGCACAATGAAAACATAATAAAGTTCTGTTTGAAGTAGAAAATATTTAAGATCCAAAGCATAAAAAGCTTTAAAACCAGCATTTTGAATTGTTCTCAGAAATCTATCAGCAGACAATGCAGTGCTTGCTAATGTGTTGTTATAAGGATACAATAGCTCTTAAATATGATCAAATGGACTCTCACATTCTATATTAAATGGTTTCTTAGCAATCTTCAAAGCAGCCCTATGTAAAGCACTTTGCAATGTTATAGCTTTGAGGTGTTAAGTGTATCAGTTGCACTCAGTGCTTTTTTTGTAAAAAAAAAAAAAAAGGTGCTGGAACTCACACATATCATACAACCCACCTTGCCTACCCTACAAGGTTCCATCCAAAAAAGGTGCCGGAACTCCATTCTGGGCGTTCTATGATAAAAAAAAAAAGCCCTGGTTGCACTCATCTAAGACATTCGTTCCAGATAGATATACCAACTGAAGCTGGCATGTTTCTCTGTCCAGTGTTCACATTCAAATCCATCAGATGCTTTCATTTATCATCAACTAAAGCATTACACATTTTCCTCCACAGATCCAGTCCATGGTCCTCAGAATGTAGAGGTTGTAGATATCCGATCACGTCAGTTGACTTTGCAATGGGAACCTTTTGGTTATGCTGTAACTCGTTGCCACAGCTATAACTTGACAGTTCATTACCAGTACATATTCAACCAGCAGAAATATGAAGCAGAGGAACTAATTCAGACATCATCACATTACACGTTGCGAGGATTACGCCCCTTCATGACCATTCGATTGCGGTTGGCTCTTTCAAATCCAGAGGGCAAGATGGAGAGTGAAGAATTGGTGGTGCAGACAGAAGAGGATGGTAAGAAATAAAGTTCTCACTATTTAAATTGTTTAGGGAGGAAAGGGAATTAAAAAAGGCTTAAAGTAAGATTTTACTGGTAGATAGAAATTCAACCCATATGTTTCACCATTCCAAAAATAGACTACAGTTTAATATTGGAAAAATAAACCTCTAAAAATTGTTGCAGGCTAAAATTATAGCTAATACTGAACATAATGAAGCTTCCCATTTTGCTTTTGGGAGGATTAGTTCTGATTACATCTTAACAAAATCAGTAACTATATATGTTGGAAAATTTTAGTTGTCTTCTCTAAATACGTGTCAAAATGTTTCAGGTGAGTTTGCTTAAAGTGTGCTTAAGAATTAATTAATTTATGTTCAAAGGCATGTCAAAGTTTAAAAAATGCAGTAATTTCAAATTAATAGACAATGTGCTAACCAGGCATCTGAATGGAAGTAGTTATTCCTTAGTGTTATTTACTGGTTATTTATTTAATAGGTCATTCTTCCAGGAGGGTAAGGATTCAAGAGAAGGAAAGGAATTAAAGATCTATATCCGTGGTGGCGAACCTATGGCATGCGTGCCACAGATGGCATGCAGAGCCCTTTCTGTGGGCACGCGCGCCATTGCCCCAGTCCTAGGTCTTCAGCTGTGTTTTATAAAACCTTTTTGTTTTAGGCCTCCACCGCCATGTGCAAAAAAAAAAGAAGGTTCAATCAATCAATCAATTTCAACTTCTCGCGGGAAAAAAAAAAGATCTCGCAAAGTTGGAATTGATTGATTGAACTTTTTAGTCCCACCCAGTCTGCCGTTACCACTGCAGCCACGGCCACCCAATGGGCCACACCCACTCAATCGGCCACGCCCACCCGGCACCCAATGATACATAAGTGGGTTTTGGGTTGCAGTTTGGGCACTCGGTCTCTAAAAGGTTCGCCATTACTGATCTATATGTTAATTAAACATATTTATTTATATTTCATATTTCTAAACTGTCCTTCTCCCTCAGAGAAGAGCTATCTCTTTATTAAAATGAGTAATCTAGTTCAGGGGTCCCCAACCCCCAAGGTGTGCAAGCGGTGCATGAGCATGCATGTGGCTCTACTCATATAAGTGATGGGTGTGCATGTGACTGTATAAAACTCCATTTGTGCAAGAGGCAGGCGTGTGTGCCTACTGCAAGCACAAATGGAGCTGTGTGCTTGAGCGTTCTTGCCTGCTGCATGCATGGAACCATCCCCTCTCCTCCCCTGCCACCACCACTGGTTCGCAAAGCTGGAAAGGTTGGGGACCAATGACCTAGTTAATGGAACCCTAGCAAAACCAAGTACTGTTATTTTAACATGTCACTATTGCACACAGATGGTCCTTGTTTAATGACCACTCATTCAGTAACCATTCAAACTTGCAATGGTGCTGAATGAATGGTAATTATGACCAATCCTCACTCTTATTTCAGTTTCAGTGTCCCTGTGGTTACATAATTTCCATTTGCAATCTTCTTTCATGCTTTCCTACAAGCAGCCAATTGAAGAACTGACAGAAGGTTACAAATAGTGACCATATTACACGCATGCTTAAGGACCCATGGTGTTCATTTAACAGAGGCAACTGGCAGTGCTAGAATTTCTGTCACCAAGTGATACAGTCACATGACATTGTACTTTATGATTGTGTCACCAATGGAAATTCAGGTCTCAATTATTGTTGTTAAGGGAGGAGTATCTGTTATTTACAATTCACTCGTATTATTATAGCACACAAATTTGTACATGGTTTGGAAATAATTGTACAATTTTTGTCAGAAATCTGAGTGAATATTGATTGTAATATAATGTGATGTTAGGTTATAGAAAAAAATGAAATATTAGGATTTATAACATTTTTATTGTATTTTTAGTTCCTGGAACTGTTCCCCTTGAATCTATTCAGGGAGGACCCTTTGAAGAGAAGATCTATGTTCAGTGGAAGCCACCAAATGAAACCAATGGAATAATTACCCTCTATGAGGTAAGACAGAATGGATGCCTCAAGCTATACTCCTATTCCTATGATGGATTTTATCGTTACTTTTTGGACTGTTAATTATTATGGTATGTTCTCACTTGGCAAAAAGGATTGGAGTGTTTAGGTGAACAAGTTCTGCATTGGTTTCACCTGCGAGGAATATTGTAGAATAGGGATTTGAATTACTGGTGTCTTACAACTCCTTAACTCAAATACCTTGATGCTTGTACCAAATAAAATTCATGCTTTTTCCTTTTGCTTGTAATTGATGGCATAGTAGTAGATATATAAAGAAATCCTAGTTATGAAATGAAAATGATTTATAGTGGTATGTCAATGCAAACATATCTACAGCAGAGCTGAGGTAAAATTAATGTCACAAATTTTAAGAGCAAATATTGTCTCAAACTGGTATGTCTTCACAAATTTGAGGTTGAAGTGTAATTACTGCATACATAATAAAGTCCATTACAAATGTGGTCTGGCTGGATATAGTCTTCACTTTGCCTGAATTTCTAGATATGATTCAGTCCCATTGATCAGATATGGCAGGGGTTTGTTTTTTTTTCATTGTAGTAGGAATTCTGGAGAATGGAGGATAGACATTATATATCCTTTATATCAGTTGGGATGCATTCTTTCAGAGTTCGGAAATCTGGAGTCCAAGTTCTTAAAATGCTATGATTTAGCATTATGATAATAAAATAGTATTCATCTGGATTTATGTCATCTCCCTTTGTTTTTCTCTGTGGAATGTAGCCTTGTGGAAATCAAAAACCTCCATATTAGTTTGATTGCTACAATTAATTGTAATTAGTGATTTTAATCAGGAAGCCAAAATGAAGACTAGAATCTCTTGCATGTTACTCATGGTTTAATTCCTATGTTCTGGCAAGAAGAGATTAAATATGAATAGTAAAATTCAACCTTATTTCCTACCTGCGGTTTTCTTTAAAGGTTCAGTTGATACACCTTTGAAAATGGAATATGATCTTGTGTATTGTGTCAAATTTTAGTCTCTCAAATGACTACCGTAGTTCCATTGAAATGCCTCTGCTATAAAAGCAGATGGTAGAAGGTTGGGGGTTTGCAGCAAGGTTAATGTGCTGAGCCTTTCACATCTGGAAACATGATTTTCCAAAGTGGTTTGGGTCAAAGGAAGAAATTGAGTTGAATGCTTTCAGCTGAGTCTCCGTGGATCTTTCTGCATGTCACTGAAAAGCTTCCGCTGTTTGCTGCAACTAGCAATCTGTAAGCAGACATTCTCCATTGTGGTTTTTACACTGCAGACCAAAGTATTTTAGATTACAAGATGAGGAATGAAGTATATCTAACTTGAAAATAAAGTCAGGCAGTACAATTGCCACTAGGATAACAGTCCTTAAATAGCAAGTTATAATTCTATAAAAGATGTCCCATTAAAACAAAAACGCTATGAACTAAGTACTTTAATGTAATTGAAATATTTACACTAGAAATTTGGATGATCTGGTGTTATAAAAATTACCAGAAGAAATTACAATACAGGTTGTTCTCGACTTATGACCACAATTGAGCCCAACATTTCTGTTGTTAAATGAGATATTTGTTAAGTAAATTTTGCCCCATTTTACAACCTTTCTTGCCACAGTTGTTAAATGAATCACTGCAGTTGTTAAGTTAGTGTCAATGTTGTTAAGAGAATCTGGCTTCTCCATTGACTGCTTGTCAGAAGGTCACAAAATGTGATCACATGACCCCAGGACACTGCAACTGTCATAAATATGAGTCAGTTACCAAGAGTTTGAATTTTGATCATGTGACCGTGGTGATGTTGCAATAGTCATAAGTGTAAAAATGGTCACACATCACTTTTTTCAATGTCGTTGTAACTTTAAATGGTCACTAAATGAACTGTTATAAGTTGAGGACTACCTATACAGGCTTTTTGACTTTTAGAGTTTTTGAAAAGATACTTCCGTATTCTTGCCAAGAAAACTAATGGTCATGTTCATAAAATTGAACTGGGGAAAAAAAATGAGACTTGACTTTTTTCTTTAGATATTTACCTATGGCAGAAAGATAAACTCAGTTGTCTGTAACAGCATTTACCAAATGGATGAGAGCAGCTTGGGGAATGCCAAGGGAGCACTTCTAGAGCAGCACCAGTTCAGAGTGCTACTGGAGGTGTTAGGTAGGGATGAAAGATATCTCCTTTTTTTGTCAGCAAAAGCATTTATGTTGGATGTAGTCTATTGGGTGGCAAGCAGGGAAGGCTTAGATAAAGTGCTATGTCTTGCAGAGAATTCTGGAAGTTAAACTGATTCAGAAATATTTCTAAAAATATACTAGCTCTTGTCCCCTTAGAAAAGAGCTGATAGCAGTTTTCCAATATTTGAAGGGCTGTCACAGGGAAGAGAGGATCAATTTATTCTCCATAGTACTTGAGGGCAGGATAAGAAGCAATGGGTAGAAGCTTGTCAGGCAGGATAAGAAGCAATGGGTAGAAGCTTTCCAACTTGGAAATAAGGAGGAATTTCCTGACAGTGAGAATTATTAATCAGTGGAACAGCTTGCCTCTCAGAGTTGTGTGTGCTCCATTGCTGGAGGTTTTCAAGAAAAATTAGACAACCATTTGTCTGGGATGGTATAAGGACTCAACCTGCCTTGGGCAGGGGGTTGGACAAGAAGTCCTCCAGTCTGATGATTCTATGATTCTAAGTGGAATCTCTTTCTTATGCATTAGTGACTTTTCTTCTTTATGCAGAAGAATGAATTCTTAAAGGTTTATAATCTTCCTAAGGGATGCTTTGAACACAAATGTTGGAGAGTATAAACAATGCTATTTTAAATTGTGAATAAAATAATTCTGTTTTAAAATCAGATGCTTATAATCATGATACTGTTTCCTCTGTTCTTCCCTCATTTTTCTTCCAGATTTGAACAAATCATTGCATTTAAAGGAAAATGACAATTCACTTCAGGCATTCAGCACTTAATGTAATTAATTATGCTTGAAGAAAAAAAAATGACAGCACTATTAAGATTATAGTTTTAATAGCTACAGTATTTGAAATAATGTATTTTTATAATGAAAATTGAAGAGTTCACTATGTCAGAGACACATTCCCTTGAAATGGGATTACACGCTATATGGGGTTTATTGTAGCAAGTGAACACATAGCAAAGCAATAACCAAATTACTTCCTTCTTTTGCTAAGATAGTTAGTCAGGGTGCAGTGGGACTTGGAATTGGAAGACAATGCTGTAATTTGTTATTACCTTGGCAGTACTTTGGCAGTTTTGCAAGGCATAAAGTTTCAGTAGTCAGTATATCTCTTTGGATAGGAAACGCAGACTGGTTAGAGAATGAGATGTATAATGTTGGAAGGGATAATTAAGGCCACTGAGTCCAGCCAGCTGTTCAGTGCAGAAATCCAAGGACAAGAATCCATGTCAGATAACTCTCCAGCCACTACTTGAATAAAAATAGTGAAGAGAAGTACACAACCTTTTCAGGTAGATAGTAGTTTATCACATAATATGATTTGTAAGAACAAGGCTTCTGTACCTATAAGCAGACTCATCACTAGTACTGCTTCCGATTAATTAGAACAAGAGAAATTCAGACTGACATATGTAGCAGCAAAATTAACATAATCCCTAAGCCACCATAACAAATTAATGTGTCCAACTTTCATAGTCCAGATCTGATGTTGTTGCATACAGAATATTTACCAGAGCATGCAGAATACAAATCTACACCAAGCCAATAAAGTGTATATATTCTTTTAGGGTATGGAGAGCTCACTTTTCACAATGACTATAATTTAATGAAACTGAATTCCACTTCAGTTGCTTCACACTGAATTTTTGTTTAACTCTTGATAGCATTACAGTGATTTTAGGATATATTATGCAACGTCATAAGAGAACTAATGACTTTGTTATATAGCTGGTAGACACTGGAATGAGATCAGTGGAAATGATAGTAATACTAACTCAAATATTCTTTCTTTCCCTTTTCTGCTTTTCTGGCAATGATACTAAGAAGATTTGAACACTGCAGTGTTATTCTTTAAGCCATGAAATTAGATATACCATGCTGTGGTACCTCCTCAGCAGCTTTCCATTATCCTTATCTTTTATTTAGGACACTGATCCAGGTTGAGAAAAGGCTTAGAGATAGGCAGTATCAGAGGTATCTACCTAGTTCACCGACAGTAGAATGTGTGATTCCCATCTTGCATTATCTTGTGAGCAAGTGGGTGACCTGTTCTATTTCCAGTCTTTTAGCATTTTGGAATGGTTGTGATGGCCCTGAATATTTGCCTAAGAAGGAAGAAGCCCAAAGCCTGAAACAAAGACATATGCCAGGTTTTAGTCAGGAAATAGGGACAGGTATTGGTACATTTATAGGTTTATTCTTTAATTTAATTTCCAATAAAATCCAAAAATGAAAACAATGAAACATTTGGCATTAAGAACATAATGTTTCTCTCAAAACAGTCTCTTCCAAAGATTGTGTTCTTTTTAACTTGATTTGTACAATAACCAAGACACCATTCAAACAAGCAGCTTTCTTTTGTCTATATTCCTAAACTTCATAGTAAAACCTCTGAACTGTATAGCATAATAGACACATAGAACTGAAAGGAATCATTGAGGCTCTTGAGTTCAACCGCATTATTCCAGATTCAAGCATCCCCGTCAGAAGACTGTTGTGGCTCTGTATAAACTGATCCAGTCAAGTAGAAACAAGAACCTCTAATATCTGCCTGTTGTTACTACATATGTGCAACAAGCAGAAATGATACTGATTTGACAGAAATGTTTGGGAAAGGACAATGGGAGCCTAGGCATTGGCAGTGGCATACAGGAGGGCTTTTCAACCTCTTCACAAATTGTACCCTTTTTAGGACATGACAATACTCGAGTACCACCAGCGCTTAGCAAGATGTCAAAAACTTGATGACTGAAAGAAAAATGGGTGGGATTTTGGGTTTTACTGGTTAGATTCATTT